GTACATCTACAAAAATAATGAAAATGTTTTAAGTTGCAAAGAAACCAATTTGCCAAAATTGTCCAACTCAACAAGTACATATTTTCTTTACGTGCGTATCGTGACTACGGAGGACAGTGATAAAGTTCTTCTAATTCAAGGATGTATGTGTGTGGGGGGGAGCCATCGCGTCGCGGAAGCTTGAATAGACTCAGCTAATTGGACATCACATCACGTAACAACCAATACATATTAACGTTTTGGCAGCTATGCTGTTGATTCTTGAAAGAAATGTTATCGTTTCATTCATTGCAGGAATGATTTCCAAAATGGGGATTTGACAGATATACCTGGGAAAACAACGCATAAACACTTCAGACTGCAAAAATGGGTATTAAAAAGTACCTCATTTCGTGGTTTCAACCATTTTTGTCAAGACGAAACAAAACAGTTAGCGTACTTTTTTTGTCGTTAAGATGCCATAAAAACTGTTAGCGAGACCATGTCTCTACTACATGCTTGGGAGAAATATCGCAAAAATATTTTTATCAAGGCATTTTCTAGGCGTTCAGACGTGTTTCCTATTTTCACGTAAACTAAAATTTATTTTATAGGGTCGTCATGAAAATCAGTATTGATTCAGTGTTGTTACCATGGAATGGAATGTTCTCATGGAATGTTGTAGCTGTGGACCCAATGTCACAGTTTTACCATAAAAGGAAAAATTCCTGGATTCATATGCTGTACCTCCATGGCTGTACTAATAGTGACGCTTAAAAGAAACTACACCACGAAGAAACGTTATACGAACGGTATTAGCTGAAATAGTGAAAATCAGAGGACGGCGAGACTTGTTCACCTTTACCGAGGAAAAATTAACAGGTGCATGGCAGAAAACATCAAATGGCCATCTCTGTTAATTTTGTATAAATGTAGGCTTTGCCGCCATAATTGATACAGTCATTGGCCTCCAAACTGAATTATAAGACAGTCAATAAACTGGAAAATTCAACTTTGCTGTAGCGCCCCCACTTGCCAGTTAAGCACTGCAGTAAACGTGGTCCCTTCGTTTTCGGGTTAGCTTTTAAAGGACGGATACCAGTTCCGTGAAGCCGTAGCTTTTCACAAATTACGGATTCTTCTAATGTAGTTTTGTCTGAATTTCTTCCACTTTACAGCTTCATAGCTAAATTGAAAATAAGTTTGTCTTGAGAGAATATGAATTTACTCCATAAATGAAAAAAAACCCAGACATTGTTTTAGTTTGACCACTTTAGGCCTACAAACGGATTTAATATCAGAGACGGAATCCAAACGGAACGAAGCCGATATTTGGAAAACTCTCTCAATCTCGTGCCTGCGAAAAATGTAAGCACGTATTCTGCGCATGCGTTGTGGCTTCACATACAACGAAGTCGTTTCCTTCCGTGAAACTTCATGATGACCCACTGAATGCCCCGAATTTCGATGCAAAATGTGCATAAATGCAACTCACAATGGAACAAAATCTTTGGAGATGACACTGTTGAGTGTTTGATTTAGACATCTGAGGTAAGTTTGTACTTATCATGCTCCACCAGATGATGAAATTTTATCGTACAAATTACAATATCGATTAGCGTAGGCCTACAAGTACAAGGTATGTTGTATGTTGACTGCTTTGATTACCGAAGTCGCAATTCATTTGCACGTAAAACGTAAGTTCTGAACGAGTAACAATCATGACAGTTGAGTCACAGTGTCAGTTCGCGTTGTATAATGTAAATAGTCTCTGATTGCAATATTCAGTACATACTAACCTACTGTACCTGTGACAAATAGATTGGTGATCTTCTTTGTTTAATTTAAAGGTCATCATGGTCAGCTAGCCCCATTAATGAGTACGCTGCACTCCCCTTCAGCCACATGCTCATACCGAATTTTTGTTGTTTTTTTTCAAGGGATTCGAAATGAAAGCATTTTCACGATTGGATGTGCTCGATGCACGCCAGACCCCCTCTACTTTTTCAATCCTTCACTACGTAATCTTACCTCCTAAGCCTACTTTTCGAGAAATTTGCAGCCATTTTTTGAACTTCATACGTTCGTGCATATTGACGTTGATAGCTCGAAGAATCATGGCGTCGAGTTTGTGACCCCTAAACTGTGACCTCACATTATGCAAATACAGCACCTGGAGTTCAGATGCGACGGCTAGTTCCTGTTTACCCAGGCCTAAACTGCTCACTGCCATGACTGCCAGCCCATGTGTGGGTAAACAGGAACTAGCCATCACATCTGAACTACAGGTCCTGTATTTGCATAATATCAGGTCACGGTTTAGGGGTCACAAACTTGACACCATGATGATTCGAGCTGTCAATGTCAATGTACACGAACGTATGAAGTTCAAAAAATAGCTGCAAATTTCTCGAAAAGTAGGAGGTAAGATTACGTAGTGAAGGATTGATTTAGAAGCGGAGAGGGTATGGTGTACATCGAGCAACTCCAATCGTGAAAATGCTTTCATTTCGAAGTGCTTGAAAAAGTCAACAAAAATTTGGCATATGGGCATGTGGCTGTAGGGGAGCACAGTGTACCGTAGGCCACATTAATGGCGCTACATGGTCAGCATGCAGCATAGCCCCAGACTGGGGAGCCAGTCTACTGGACTTCCTCTGTATCCGACCTTGGCTCCACAACAATCAATCCTAAAAGTGGAGAAAATGCCTTTTATGAAATCCCTTTTGCGTGTATGGATCACTCATTCTAATGACAACATCCCCTTGAATCAAAAGAATTCATAACAAATAAAATGATTTATCTATTCCTCTCCATCTTTGCAGCGGCCAAGGATCAAAGGAACAATGGGAGGTTATGATTTTGAAAACGATGACAGGTGGAAAGGCCTGCTTCTGACCGCCCTACGAAAGGTGAGACCTTTGAGAGTGTAATGTATGTATGCGCAGTAGATGTACATGCATTTTTGTATCCACCGGTCATTTTGAAAGTGCAGTTTGGTTCAGGGTGAAATTGGGCCATAGTGACATCAGACTTTGTTTACTTGTGTGCTTTACTATGGCAGTGAGGTGGGATGTGATCCATCAACTTCCCAGTGGAAAGCACTTATGTAACTGGTCTCAGCACTCCAATTTCACCATGGCCACTGTGGCCATGGTGGTCTGTGCCCTTACAGCTGGCTGTGATGCCCTGAAAATTTCACTTTGTCCACAGCCAAAGCTGGCTGTGTGCCCTATTCTACCCTGTAATACCCTGTACATGTACATGTATTTCCTTACGTTTGCGACTTCACATTCACACCAATGTATTTTGTGTTGCAGTCTACTAGTACAGGATCATCTTCACACCACTGGGTACACGGCCAGGCCAGGCGAGCTAGCAGACCCAGTGCGCTGTGACACAGCGTCGTACGTACAGTTTGTACAACGTGATTTTTTCCTGCGCTGCGATTGGCTTCGATTTACATAAATGTATACATGTGTATTTTGTTCTGTAGCCCAACGTTCTGTGGACAATTATTCGCTCCAGGCATGTGCGGCGGATGTGTGGGGCTAGCCAGCCTAGTTCAGCATATGTGTCATGTGCAGCAACCCAGCTGGCACATGCACAGATGGGCTTAAGCCATACCCAAAACAGGCCTCCACTACTATGGCTAGATCTTTTTTGTCTCAATCCAGTTTCGGATTGCGTCTGTACACATGCAGCAGACTCAACTACACATGCGTACCTTATTCTTACATGACGCAATGGGTTGGTCAACTTTATAGTGAGGGGGATGTGGTTGGTAAGATTGCGCTTTGCAGTTAAAAAAAGATGCATCAAAATTGAAACAAAGCATGTGGCTTTGTTTATGGTTTAATTCACTGGAATTCTTTTGTAAATGTACGAATTTTCTCTGAATTAAGAAATCCTTTGTCAGAAAATGTGTCTGTTCCATCCTGTTATATGATGTTTTTCACAAGAAATTTTGGGAGTGATTACTGGGTTATAAAACATTTAAATACGAGTATGATAGCTCAAGCATATAAAACACCATTTTTTGTTTTTCCAGTTTCTAAATGCGTTTTGCAGAATATTTCACACCTTGGTCTCAGTGTGTCTTTCCTTTTGTAGAAATTTTTGCGTTGTTGCCCCTGTTACTGGCCTAGTTGCCCCTGTTATTGGTCATGGTGCCCCTTAAAATGTCACATTTCTTGGGGCCAAAATGGCAATGCCCCCAAAAAGTTGAAATTTGAGCCCTGTGGTCTTGTGATGGTTTCGACTGCAACAATGCTATCTACAACAGAAAAAATGATGCAACACAGCAACTCTTGTGGGGCTGCGTGTATGTACGGTACATGTATGGTACCCTGATTTTGGGTCAGTTCATGCGTACATGTAGCACACGTGTACATTTGTATATACATGTAGAATGATGAGTTTTTACTAAAATACTTAACCCTCTTCATTCTAATTGGATGAGCTGTCTTCCATGACATCAGTTTTTGTTTTTTAATTTGTTTTTCATGTGTATCTGCAAAACGTCATCTTTCCATATTAGGGAGAGTTTTGAAAATGTCTATGAATCCCACTTGCACTTTGAAGTTTGAAGAAATAGAAAGATACTAGTTCTGTTGTTTGTTTGGCATACCTGCTAGAATATAAAGTTAATTGAATATTCTTCTTACAGGGTATTCCCAAAATTTACCAGAAAATTATAATTAGTTCTGTGCTTCATGGTAAGTTTTAGGTGCAATCCAATTTGGGGGCAAGCTTTGAAAACTGTGAAAAACATGCTCAAATTGTCAATTTTGTCTTTCCTGAAATGTCTCTGAACAGCCTTCAGGGTCATGAATAATCATAAAATTACCACTATCTGTATTTCTATATTTGCACATTCATAATTCATTATAAATTCATGAGAGAAGAGCCACAACATCTTGCTTTTCAGTGTGATAGATAACTGAGCAAGTTCTGCTTTGTGGTGTTGAAGGCACATATCACACAAAGTACCAATACATTGGTTTCCGATACTAGGAAAGAAAATTACTGCAGTCAGAATGGCAGTGAAAGGACCTTGACAGTGTTGCCTACATGTAAATGTAGCATTGGATGGTGTGCCAAGTTCCCTTTCAGGAAGGTCTACAGTCGAACCTCATGAATAAGAGGTTGTTTGGATTTGGATAATTACCTTGCTATAACAGGAACCTTGCATTATGAGGAATAAAAACAATGAAAAACAAACGATTGGGACCCCAATTGTCATAAGCAGAATCTTGTATTAACAGTGTTCTTTTTAACAGGGTTCAACTGTATTTTCAAAAATGCCTTGAGGTGTTGAGTGACTTTAAGTTGCATGAATATTTACCCCGTAATCAGTACTAAAATCATTGTCCATGGAGAGTAACTGCTGAGTAACACTGGTACATGCTTGATGTTCGATAGGTTATTGAGAACTATATGCACATGCGTTGTATTCTGTTATAGTCTACATGTGGTATTGTTGGCTCTTTTCAAAGGTTGTTATTTCACTGTGACCAGAGCTGTCTTGCTGTAGTGCACCAAACCTTCCTTTTGGAAAACGTTTGACAGCCAGAGGGTTAACTTTCTTCCATTAATACCTGTAGCTGTCTCACTTTGTACGGGGCTTTTCAGAGTGCTCTTTCAAAGATGAATGTTTCACTCACTTCTTGATATGCCCCGAATCTGACAGGTTCAGAGAGAGGTGCACCCTTCTCTGATCGTAGAGGAGGCTGCTCTGGAGTACATAGAGCCTCTCATTGTCCGGCTGCTGGGCATGCTGTGTGCTGGTCAGCCCCACACTGTCCAGGATGTCGAGGAGCGTGTCCAGCGGGCCTTTCCACACCCCATTGACCAGTGGGCCATCAGCGATGCGCGCAGTGCCCTTGAGAAGGGTAAGAAGAAAGCTCCGTTGGTGTTGCCTGTCGACAAGATTCATCCACTACTTAAGGTAAGGAGGGTGATGGGATGGGATGGCTAATAATCTTAATTATAATATGGACTAACATTGTGTGGTGCCCTTATCGAAAAAACTGATTATGGTGCAGACACTGTCATTATACCCGACCACATGACCCCAAAACATTCCTGAACCCTAACCCTTCTCAATCCTCAAAGTCCTTTGGGAGGTTTGGAGGATTTTTTAAGGTTGAGGAAGAATGACAAAAAGGTAAATGTTTATGATGCCGGGCTGGGATATTTATCATTGTTTTCTGTTTGCAAAATTCTGTAAAAATTCCTTCTGAGTATTTTAGCCAGTATACCCAGCAAGAAATGAGACCGAGGGGTACCCCCCCAACATGTCCAATCCC